TGCAAGGGCTTCTCACTGCGGTGGCTTCTTTTGTTGCAGAGCATGGGCTCTAGGGAACATGGGATTCATTAGTTGTGGTGCTCGGAGGCTCTAGAGTGCAGGGGTAGGGGGTGGCTCAGTACTTGTAATAGTTGTGGCTCTTGGCCTTAGTTGCCCTGAGGCATGTGAGATCTTCCTGGACCAGAGATCCAACGGGAGTCACGTACATTGGTAGGCAGATTCTGGTCCACTGGATCACCAGGGAAGTCGTCTCCCTTTCTTTTATGACCCTCTGTTCCTGTGTGCTGGCTTGCTTTTCAAGCTACCCCTGCCCTTGAAAGAAAAGACCCTGATGCTGGGCAGGAGGAGAAGGGGACGACAGAGGATGAGATGGTTGGATGGCATCACCGACTCAATGGATATGAGTTTGGGTAAACTCTGGGAGTTGGTGATGGACAGGGAGGCCTGGTGTGCTGCAGTTCATGGGGTCGCAAAGAGTCGGACTTGACTGAACTGCCCTTGAAAGAAAGAAAGAGAGCCAAGAACAGCCCCAAGCCTATGTCCTTATAGTGTGTGACCTGAAAGAGAGACACCCTCTCCCAGCCTCCATAAACTAAGCCTCATAAAAGTCTCTGATGGTGATGCCAAAAGCTCAGCCTCTGAACACTAGTGTCGAATTGAATCTCAGAGACAGAGTTTTGGATGAAGTAGAAGAGACTTATTGTTTTGCCAGGTGAAGCGGGGACACAGTAGGCTCCTGCCCTCAAAACTGTGTGTCCTAACCCAGGAGGATTTGATGAGTTTTAAAGCAATTTCTCTTGAGTTTTCTTTGACCTATGTGTTGTTTAGAAGTATGTTGTTTAATCTCCAAGTATTTGAGGATTTTCCAGCTCTCTCTCTCTGCTATTGATTTCTAGTTTGATTCCATCTTGGTCTGAGAACAGGCATAATGTGATTTATCTTTTTTCAGATTTGTTTAGGTATTTTTTTTGGCCCAGAATTTGGTCTGTCTTGGTGAATGTTACATGTGAGCTTGCAGAGACTGTATAATCTGCTGTTTGGGGTGATGTAGTCTACAGGTGTCAATTACATCCTGCTGATTATTGGTATTGTTGAGCTCAAGTATATCCTTACCAATTATCTGCCTGCTGGGTCTGTCCATTTCTGATTAGAGGAGTGTTGAAGTCTTGGTGAAGACTCTCGAGAGTCCCTTGGACTGCAAGGAGATCCAGCCAGTCCATCTTAAAGGAGATCAGTCCTGGGTGTTCATTGGTAGGACTGATTTTGAAGCTGAAACTCCAATACTTTGGCCACCTGATGCGAAGAGCTGACTCTTGAAAAGACCCTGATGCTGGGAAAGATTGAAGGTGGAGGGAGAAGGGAATGTCAGAGGATGAGATGGTTGGATGGCATCACCGACTCAATAGACATGGGTTTGGGTGGACTCCGGGAGTTGGTGATGGACAGGGAGGCCTGGAGTGCTGCAGTTCACGGAGTTGCAAAGAGTCGGACACGACTGAGCGACTGAACTGAACTGAAGTCTCTGACTATGATAGTGGAATCACCTATTTGTCCTTGTTTTCAAGCAGTTTTTCCCTTGTGTAGCTTGATGCTGCTTTGTTAAGAGCATACACATTAAGAATTGTTGTCTTCTTGGAGAATTGACCGCTTTATCATTATATAATGTCCTTCTTTATCCCTAATAAATTTTTTGCTTTTGAATCTGCTCTGTCTGAAATTAGTATAGTTACCCTTGCTCTCTTTTGATCAGTATTAGCATCGTATATTTTTCTCCATTCATTTACTTTTAATCTATAGCCACATTCTCTTTTAAGGAGCATTTCCAGAAGTCCCAAACAACATTTCCACTTACATCTCATTGCTAGAACGTGAATTCATGGCTACAGCAATTTCTTTCTTTTTAATAAATATTGTTTAAAAAAATTTTAAATGTTCTTTTATTAAAATAAAAGTGATTATGATTTTATAATATTAATGAGGTACAATTTACCATAACATTTGCCCACTTCGCCAGTGTAATTTGGTGACTTTAGTAAATTTACAGAGATTTGCAACAATTACTGCAATTTAGCTTTAGAATTTTTCATCACCCTAGAAAGATCCCTCATGCCCGTGTGTAGTCAATTTCTTTTAACTTCTCCCTTTTTAGTAACCTCCTTGGAAATATTGTATAACATTACCAATTTATTTCAAGGGCCAGATATTAGTCACATGGTGATGTTAGATTCAAAGGAGACTGGTAAATGTGTTGTTTATTTGTTTTTTAAATCTGGGTACATTACCATCTTAAACAAAAACTAGCTCCATTGCTAAAGTGAAAAGGGAGAGTGGATGATGAGTTGTTAAATAACCGTCTCTACCACAGATAGATGGCGTTATACTCTCCATTTCAGAGATAAAGAAACCAAAGCATAATGATTTGAGAAATTTAATGAAGGAAGACTTTCAACCTTCTAGCTGAAATTTTCCTTCAAACCAGGAAGGAAATTTTCCTTCCTTCCTTCCTTCACATTTTAAAAATAATAGTTTAGCTTGAGGCCCACCTGTTTGAGCCACGGAATCCTGTAAATTCAGTGGTAACTCATTAGCAGTCTTTCTGATATCCAGATTAGATTCTCAGAAATACAAAAAGCCAACTAATCTAATTCACCAATATTATTGTTATTCCCTCAGACATGACTATCTTTCAACTACTTTTTTTTAATTGAAGTATAGTTGATTTACAATGTTTTGTTAATTTCTGCTGTACAGAAAAGTGATTCAGTTATACATAAAAATAAATTCTTTTTTATATTCTTTCCACTACAGTTTATCTCAGGATATTGACTATAGTTCCCTGTGCTATACAGTAGGACTTTGTCATTTATTCATTTTATGTGTAATAGTTTATATCTGCTAATCCCAAACTCCCATTCCATCCCTCCCCCACCCTTGCAGTTTACAGCTTTTCACCCTTACTACTTAATCTAGCTAACCCCTCAGTAACCCTTAAAACCCAGCTCAGACATCACCTCCAGGAAGTCTTCCCTGATTTACCCACTCAGGGTATTGTCCTATGCTTTCCTGATCACATACCACAGAACATAGCATATTCTAGTCACAGATTTGCTTGTCCATAAATTGAGACTTGTCCTTGAGGTCAGGAATACTGCCCTAGATGACCTTTTTTTTCCTCCAGGTCCTAGCACCCAACAGGTCCTCAGTTAATGCCTAGAAGATGAATGAGGGAGTCATTGCCATGTGTTCAGCACTCTGCTTCAGTTATTTGTTATTGCCAGTGTTTGGCTGATCTGTAAACTTCTTTCAGTACTTATCAAGATTCTAGTGAAACCTTTGAAGAGATCACACTGAAGTTTTGAGCCAATTTTTGTTCATGTCTTTTTTGTTTCCCCCACAGGAAGGGAAAGGAAGAGAGGGATGGAGAATGGAAACAGAATTCAACTGACTCTTCCTTCTCACCATCAAGCACTGATGAAGTCTCTTCCCTGTAGGAACTAGGAAGCTCCTACAAAATTTCTGACATTCCTGCTAGTAGGAGAACAAAAACAGGAGGAAAAGAAACTTGTGGCCAAAGACTGAGAAATAGAAATAAATATTCCCAGGATGGGGGAAAGATTCCACTATAGTTTTTCCTAGGTTGAGTGAAAAGCAGGAGTGGGGAGATTTTTCCTTAGGTCACTACATTTACTCATGCATTTACTCTTTTACCCATTATTTTACTTAAAATATTATAGGTAACAATATTAAGTGGTGGCTCAGATGGTAAAGAATCCACCTGCAATGCGGGGGACCTGGGTTCTGCCCCTGGGTCAGGCAGATCCCTTGGAGAAGAGAATGGCAAACCACTCTAGTATTCTTGCCCAGAGAATTCCATGGACAGAGGAGCCTGGAGGGCTACATACAGTTCATGGGGTCGCAGAGAGACAACTGAGCGACTAACACTTTCACTTTCTTTATAATAATAGTGGCTACCAATTTACTGTTTATTCTGTGCCAAGCATTAAGCTAAACACAATACAAACATGTGCATGCGTGTTTAGTTGTTAAGTCATGTCTAATTCTTTGTGACCCCATGAACTGCAGCCCTCCAGGCTCCTCTGTCCATAGGATTTTCCAGGCAAGATACTGGAATGGGTTGCCATTCCCTTCTCCAGGGGATCTTCCCAACACAGTCGGGAGCAGCAGAGGCAAAGACTCAGAGGCAGCAAGTAACATGGCAGGAGGTCATGGACGTATGTGAGGGGCTCTAGGAGAGATGAGCCTGGAGAAGATTCCTGGACAAACCATGAAGGAATTTTCTTTTCTAAGCAAAACCACTTTAGTATCTAAGTGGTAGGAATCCATGAACGATATTAAATAGGGAACCACATGGCCATATTTGGACTTTTCAAGTCCTGGTGGCAGATGGTGGGCTACATGATGGAATTATGTATGTACTTCAGGGGATCTGCAAAGTCTTCCACAAACATCTACCTCTACGTGAAACCCTGGCTATCTTTTTGATCAGTAGTCTCCAAGCTTTCTTGATCTTATATCTCTCTTAATAAAACATTTATGAGAACTCAGCTAACAGCTTGTTACAAAAATTGCACTCTTCCAGACCCCCTTGCCTATTCCACAGCAACACTTTCCACTTTCTTTTTTTTTTTAACTGTCATTTTAAATCTTTAATCAGATTCCATTCATGATTATCAGTCATATTACATGCCATGATTAGCTTTTTATAAACAATTTTGCCTTCTGTGTACAAATTGGTATCAATGAAATAAAAAATAAAACCATATACTAGGCAAAGAATTTTCTTTGTCTCAAATTTTATTCTTAGGCTTCTTCAGCTTCATTAGCTGCAAAGAATGAATTGTATATAAGCAAAAACTGAAAAGAGCTGCAGTGTCCAGGGGCTTAGGCTTAAAAATATTAGAGATCTAGATTTTATCAGATCCATAAACAAAATTTTAAAAAGCAGTCATAATATAAAATAGCAGCTCCCAGTAACTTCCTCAACATTCACCTTCTTCGGAAGTTAACTCAGTTCCGTGTGCTTCATTCTTGGAAGCCTCCTCAACATTCTCCACAAGATCTGGAACTTCCTCCTCCTCCTCCTCTCCAGTGGCAAGTGGTGCTTTTCCATCCACGGACTGTTTGGGCAGAGCTTCAGCCAGTCTCCTTAAACTGGTCAGACTGTCGGCACCAAGCTGGTTTAAGATGCTGGGGAGCATTTCTGTCAGTTGCTTTGTCTCAGCGTGGTCTGTAATGGTGAAAGTGTTTGCTGCCAGAGATCCCTGAACTTTAGGGTTGTTAAAGTGGATCACTGTTCCTTGATTTGTGAACATATTCACCTCTTCAATACCAGAGGTATTGTTTACCCCTAGCTTCTTTAAAGAGAACTGAAGTTTTTTGTCATCTGCTGTGGCTGTTCTATGAACCACCTTCTTCTTTCTGCGAGCAGTTCCTTTCCCACCAGTGCGTACTTGTGCCTGCAGTTTGGCGAGTTTCTCCTGGTTCATGATAGTTTCTTTCATCTTGTTGGAGCGGAAATGGGGCCGCGCGGGAGACTAGGGTTGGCGCTCAAGTGGTCTCGGGCAGACCAGCTGAGGTTAAGCGCACACACGCGGGGGCGCCAAGATGGCAGCTAGAGTCACTTTCCACTTTCTTAACTGATTGTTTTGTTATTTGTTTTCCTCCATATGTTTAAATATCCTGGTGCTCTTGATTTTCCAGTGTTAGGCATTATCTATTGAATTCTCACAATGAAAGGTGAGGACTAGATTCACACATGCACACACTTTTCCTCTCCCATCCTGCCAATGTGCTTCTGTTGTGATTTTGGCTGGTTCCTTAATCAGTATTATTATACCATCAACACCATTACCATGAGCTACAGAATATACTTTCATTGTTTTTATTTCTTGCAAAATTCTTTGCTGTCACTGGAACTAAGTCTCTTTTTCAGTCGACTTGTTTTCTTTCTTTTTTTTAATATACTTAAGACAGCCTATCTCCAAATTCTCCCAGTACATTCAGACACTTTACATAATCTATTAGTTTTACCTCCATTTCCCAGCCTTCTGATCTACTTCACTCTAGGTGGTTCATTTCCAGGCTGTTTATATAATGTTGGGAATTCCTTTCTTCATTCTCTTGATCACATTGGTTTTTTAACCTACTTCTCTTTGTGTCTTTATGGTTCACCTACAGAAAGGTGATCAAGAAATCAAATCCAATGCAGAAAAATGAAATAGTCTTTCTTATCCTCTCACCTTCCATCTCCCCTGAATGAATCCTTGTCTAAGAATCAAAAGAACTTTTTGGATGAAGTCTTCACATGTTGTTGGATTTACTCTAAAATGGAAACAAGAAAACAAAAAATAATACAATAATACATTTAGTCATTCCCCTCCATAGGACAAAGAATATTAAAGTCCCCTCCTACCTGAGCCAAAGTCAGAATTTAAATTGGCATAAAGTTACCTCATTCATTCATGCATTGGCTTACTAATTCTTTTATTCACTTGTTTATTAATAATAACACTGTGGAGTATATATGCTGCTGCTGGTAAGTCGCTTCAGTCATGTCCAACTCTGTGTGACCCCATAGACGGCAGCCCACCAGGCTCCCCCGTTCCTGGGATTCTCCAGGCAAGAACACTGGAGTGGGTTGCCATTACCTTCTCCAATGCATGAAAGTGAAAAGTGAAAATGAAGTTGCTCAGTTGTGTCCAACTCTCAGCGACCCCATGGACTGCAGCCTACCAGGCTCCTCCGTCCATGGGATTTTTCCAGGCAAGAGTACCGGAGTGGGTTGCCATTGCCTTCCCCCATGGGGTATATATAGGTATGCATTATATGTATCATATAATAGTGGTCATAGGAGACATCATTTATTAAGTACTTACTAAGTGCTGAGTACTTTAAGTCCTTTTCAGACATTATCTCAGATTTAACCCCTTTCCCCTCTTCTCCCCCAGGTGGGTGTTGGTACCTCCATTTCTCTTAGGAGGACACTGGGGCTTGAAAAGAGGTTGAGGAAGTGTTCATGTTTGCACATACCAGAGATGAATAAAGACACAGTCCCTGACCTTAAAGAGTACACAGACTAGAAGAGAGGGGAGGATGTGTAAACCAATAAATGCATTAAAGTTGTGCTAGAGATCTGTGTGGAATCCAAGAAAAACCAAGCCCACAGACTTCACCGAGGCTCAGAAGTACATGGGCCAGTGTGTAGAAGGACCTACAGTTGGGCTGAGGGGCTTGACTTTTATCATATGGGTCTCAGGGAACAAGGGAGTAATCTGGTCTGTGTTAGAACAGTCTGCCCAACCCAGCCAAGAAAGAAAAAAATCAAGCAAATGACAGCCTGAACCAAGAAGCAATTAAGTACATTCTTGGAACAGATGGTGTCTCCCTTAGATAACATCTTCACTTGAACTTGAGTGTAATTCTAGGTGACCCCCTTGGAGAATATTACCCAGGTAAAGGAATAGAAGAAGGGTAAAAGGGAAGAGCTCAAGCTTTGGATCCAGAAAATTCAGAACTTTGGATCCCTGTTCTGCGTCATAGTAGATTTATGACCTTAGGCCTAGTAGCTTTTGTGACTTGACTTTTCTGAACTTTTCTTTTTTTTTTAACTTGTTTTCTTGAATGCAGAAAGGGAATGTCTGCCTAGGAGGGTATTTTTGTGTTGGTTAAATGAGATAGTTTACGCAAAGTTCCTGGCTTAGCATATTTCACTTGATAATTGCTACCAGCTATTGTTGTTATTATCATTACTGTTAAAAGGTATACTCTTCTCCTGAAACCAGGACATGTTGAACATGGAAGCCAGGACATGTCTTTCAAGATGATCCTTTGCACAGCTTGGGTCACAGATCATGCCTGCTCGGACCCCTTCCAGAAGTTACTGAGTACTCATAACCATAGGCCTCTTGGCAGTTCAAGATGAAAAGATCTGTCTCTACTCTTTGTAAATATTAGAAGGGAAAATTATGGTGAAGAATTCTTCACCCTTTATAAAGGGGGGAGGGGATAAAGCACCAAAGAGAACATCTAAGAAGTACTAGCTATAATATGGAATAAAGCAAATGAGTAATTGTATAATACCCCCATTCTGACATTCCTACACTATGGAAGTAAACAAAATTAGATGTTAAGCTAGAAGAGATGAAGATAAAATCCTGTGGTCCTGAGTTTGAATTGATTATGAATTGAGGATATATTTTATCTTTAGTTAGTTACTATTAGTTGCTCAGTCCAACTCTTTGTGACCCAATGGACTGTAACCTGCCAGATCCCTCTGTCCATGGAATTCTCCAGGCAAGAATATTGGAGTGGGTAGCCATTCCCTTCTCCAGGGAATCTTCCTGATCCAAAGATGGAACCTGGGTATCTTGCATTGTAGGCGAATTATTTACCTCCTGAATCACCAGGGAAGCCCTGTCTTTAAAAACAAATAGTTGCCTAAGGAATGAGTGTAGAAGTGGCTAAAGAGGGTAGAGGAGGAGAGAAAGAAGAAATTACAAAGGGGCCATGAAAATTTGGGGGGATGGCGGTTATGTTCACAGTCTTCATTGTGCTGAGGGATTCACAGACTTTAAATATGTTCACTTTCTTATATATCATTTATATCTCCTTAAAGCTTAAAAGAAAAAAAAGAAAAAAAACCAACCAACTAACTTTGTCCACTGAAATGACTTGGAAATGAAGACTAACCCAGTAGTAATGAACTAGACCGTGGTTTTGAAATACTATTTGCACTAAAAGGATACAGGGATCCTTGAAGAATTGTCTGGTTCCAGGTCTAGGGCAGGAAAATTATGAAATGAACTTGGAACATCGCCATACTAGATAGCAAGGAAGCTACCAAAGATGAGAGTCCTGTTAGAAAGCCTCGATAGCCAACTTAGAATCCCATTGGCTAAAGATGGGACAATCTAAGTATAATAATAGTCATGGACTGAAGCATGTCAAACATGTTTTCACCCACATATTCATATCATTAGTTAAAAAAAATAACTGGTCACGGTTTAAAGATGCTAAGGGACCAATTTGTTATTTTGAAAACTAGCAAATAAAGGAAACAAATCAGTATCTATCGTGCCATTCCCATATGAACTGTCAGTTTCAATTCAGTTGCTCAGTCCTGTCGGACTCTTTGCGACCCCATGGACTGCAGCACGCCAAGGCTCCCTGTCCATCACCAACTCCTGGAGCTTGCTCAAACTCATGTCCATCGAGTCGGTGATGCCGTCCAACCATCACATCCTCTGTTGTCCTCTTCTCCTCCTGTCTTCAATCTTTTCCAGCATCAGGGTCTTTTCCAATGAGTCAGTTCTTCCATCAGGTGGCCAAAGTATTGGAGTTTCAGCTTCAGCATCAGTCCTTCCAACCAATTTTAGGGTTAATTTCCTTTAGGATTGACTGGTTTGAGCTCCTTGCTGTCAAAGGAACTCTCAAGAGTCTTCTCCAGCACCACAGTTTGAAATCATCAGTTCTTCGGCACTCTGCCCTCATTGCAGTCCAACTCTCACATCGATACATGACTACTGGAAAAACCATAGCTTTGACTATACAGATCTTTGTCGGCAAAGTGATGTCTCTGCTTTTTAATATGCTGTTTAGGTTTGTCAGGGATTTCCAGGTGGTGCTAATGGTAAAGAACCTGCTTGCCAATGCAGGAAACAAGAGACATAGGTTCGATTCCTGGGTCAGGAAAATCTCCTGGAGAAGGGCATGACAACCCACTCCAGTATTCTTTCCTGGAGAATCCCATGGACAGAGGAGCCTGGCGGGCTACAGTCCATGGGGTCACAAAGAGTCAGACACGACTGAAGTGACTTCGCATGCACGCACGCTAGGTTTGTCATACCTTTTCTTCCAAGGAGCAAGCATCTTTTTAATTTCATGGTTGCAGTCACTGTCCATAGTGATTTTGGAATCCAAGAAAATAAAATCTGCCAGTGTTTCCATTTTTTCCCCATTAGTTAGATTCTCATCAGTTATCTCTTTTACACATAGTAGTGTATATATGCCAATCCCAATCTTCCAGTTCATCCCACCCATCCCCTTCCCCTCCTGGTATCCATATGTTCATTCTCTACATCTGTGTTTCTGTTTTGACAATTGGTTATTTGAATGCTATCTGGATATTTGATATTGAAAATTATTATTTTGGTGTGATAATGGTGTTATGGATATGCATTTAATTTACAGATGAAATTATATGACATAGAATTTCCTTTAAAACCATATGAGAGGGAGGAAGTGGGTGGAAGTATAAGTGAAACAAGACTGGTCATATGTTGAAAATTGTTGAAGCTGAGTGATGGGGATGTAACATTTTACTTTAAAACAGTAAAGGCACTGCTGGGGACTTGTACTTTTAAATGTATTTTTACAGGTTATTTTGTCTTCTCTCATGAAGTAAATGTGAATGAAGTAAATTTTCCCTATTTTCAAACTGAGGACTTTCTTGGTTGAAACCACCATTACCCCTGGCTTGGACTTTTACAGTATTCTCTGAAGT